CAACACACTTAGGCTGCCCAGAGGAAAAATCTACCAGATGTATTTGCACCAATGATAATCAATTTGGGTCTCAGTTCGTTTGATTGAAGCTTAGCCAGTTAATCTGGCGATTGGCCCGCTGAGCCGACCCCGGAAATGGGTTAATTCAGGAACCACGTGGTTTATTTATTTATTTATTGGTTCGATTTATAGGCCGCCCTTCTCCGAAGACTCAGGGCGGCTTACAATGCATTAAGCAATAGCCTTCATACTTTTGTATATACCTGCTTAGTAGGGCTTTCGGCCCCCCCTAGGCAGTGTTTTTTTTTTTTTAATACAAAGTCAGCTTATTGCCCCCACAATCCTGGTCCTCATTTTACCTTCCTCGAAAGGATGGAAGGCTGAGTCAACCTTGAGCCTGGTGAGATTCGAACTTGCAGTAATTGCAGGCAGCTGGTGCTACTTAACAGCGCTTTAGTCTGCTGCACCACCAAGGTTGTGTGAGGATGGCCAGGATCTGAATTATTAGGTGATTTCGGTGCCTTTTAGGAACCTGCTTGGGATCAGATTGGGCTGAATATTGTGTCTCCTGAAAAATGCAACGTTTTGTATTGCTTGGGATTTTGAGGAAAAGTCAGAAATAAATTTATTGTATTTTTTTTTTTTTAAATCCTTCTCGGTTGTCCTTCCCTCCAATTCCATCTCGATGCAATTTGTAATTTCCATGCAAAAGAGGGGATCAGCCTCCTTCTAACAATCCAAATTTTCTGTAACAGCTTTCCCCCCCCCCAAGAAACTGCAAACCTGAGATGACTTAATGGAAGCAGGGATGGATTCCAGACGTGCCCAGGAGCTTTCTGGTGGTTTCAGGAGATGAAAAGGAGAAGGAGCATCTTTTGAGAACATCCTTCATCCTCCTCCCCCCCTACTCCGCCCCCCACTTCTATCTCTAAAAATAAGGAATGATTTAATTTTCCTCAATTGATTCTGCATTGTGAAATGTAGGTATAATCTCCACATTTTTCTGGATCAAAGCAAAATCAGCCATGCTTTAATTTTTATGGGTATGCCCTGAGCTAGGACAGAAAGAAAAGAAGACAAAGAAAGGGGGGGGAGGGAGAGAGAGAGAGAAAGAGACAGACAGACAGACAGAGAAGATGGAAGGCAGAAAGAAAAAAGAAGGAAGGAAGGGAGAGAGAGAGAGAGAAAGAAAGAGAAAGGAAGGAAGGAAAGAAAGAAAGCAAAAGAAAGAAAAGAGAAGAAAGGAGAATGAAATGGAGAGAAAGGAAGGAAGGGGGAAAGGAGGAAGTAGAAATAAATAAATAAGAACGAAAGAAGGAAGGAAGGAAGGAGTGAGTAGAAAGAGAAAAAGAAAAAGGAAGGAAGAAAGAAAAAAAAGGAAGGGATGGAAATAAGGAGGGAGGAAGTGGAAAGAAAGAAAAAAGAAAGGAAGGAAGGAGTAGAAAGAAAAAGAAAGAGAAAGAAAGAAAGAAAAAAGAAAAAAAAAGGAAGGAAGGAAAAAGAAAGGAAGGGAGGAAGTGGAAAGAAAGAAAGAAAGGGAAAAAGAGCAAGAGAAAGAAAAAAGAAAGAAGAAAAAGAATGAAGAAAAAGAAGAAAGAAAGAAAGAAAAAAAGAAAGAAAGAAAGAAAGAAAGAAAGAAAGAAAGAGAAAAAAGAAAGAAAGAAAAAGAAAAAAGGAGGGAGGGAAAAAAGAAAGGGAGGGAGGAAGTGGAAAGAAAGAAAAAAGAAAGAAGGAAAAAGAGAAAGAAAGAAAGAGAAAGAAAAAAAGAAAAAAAAGAAAGAAAAAAGAAGGAAGGGAAAAAGAAAGGAAGGGAGGAAGTGGAAAGAAAGAAAGGGAAAAAGAGCGAGAGAAAGAGAAAGAAAGAAAAAAGAAAGAAGGAAAAAGAAAGAAGAAAGAAAGAAAGAAAGAAAGAAAGAAAGAAAGAAAGACGCAAATATTAAACAGGTATGCAGCAGGAAGAAAGGTAGTTTAATGTTAATTTTAGGGTTCCCCCCACCCCACCCTGCTCCAGAGAAGGAAGGGGAATCAGGATCTGAAAAGGAAATAAACGTTTCAAGGAAAATAAACCAACATGGGTTTGCGGGGTGGGGAGGGAATGAGAGGAAAAATAACCCCGGGCACGGAGCCATCCTGGATGCTGAAGGAGGAGGCCGAGCGAGAGGAAAACGAGGCCCTTTTACAATCTTTTCTGCAACCTGCCATCCGAAAACACCTGAATTAGCCCCTTGTTTTCTTGTTTTCGTGATCACAACACTGCCGGAGTGGAATTTGCCCTGCGCCGGCATCCCCAAGCGGCCTGGCAGGTAACAGACCGAGAGAGGTGTGCCATTGTGGTGCCTTCTGACGCAGCTGGGACCCGGGGAAATCTAGCGGTGTCCGTCCTAACCCGATAAACGGAGCCCTTTGTGGTGCACCCAAATGGGAAAATCACCCCAGGAAAGAGGAAAAAAATTGGGATTAATTGCATTTTTCCCAGTTCCTTTTTTCCGTTTTGGGAATCGGAGGTGGTTTCCTTCCGTCCCTCGGCGGCAATTTGCTGACTTCACTGACATTAACTGCAAGTCAATGTCTCAAATTGCGGCCGTTCATTTAGTGACCGTTTGAAGTTACAACGGCGCTGAATTAAAAACGTGACTGAAGACCACTTTTTACACTTTCACACTTACACAGCCAGCATCCCCCGCGGTCAGGGGATCGAAATTTGGATGCTTCACATCTGACTCGTATTTATGACGGTTGCAGTGTCCCGGGGTCATGTGATTTCCTTTTGTGACTTTCTGACGAACAAAGTCAACGGGGAAGCCAGATTCGCAGGGTTACTAACTTAACCAGTGCAAGGATTCCCTTAGCCACTGTGGCAAGAAATGTCCTCAAATGGGGCAAAACTCACTGAGCAAATGTCTCGCTTAGCAACAGAAATTTTGGGCTCAGTTATGGTTGTAAATCGAGGACTATCTGTAGAAGAGAAGAGAAGAGAACAATGAATACAACAAAAGAGAACAGAATAGAACAATGAATAAAACAGAACAATGAGTAGAACAGAACAGAATGAATACAACAGAACAGAAAAGAACAAAATAGAAGATAACAATGAACAGAACAGAACAAAACAGAACAGAACAATGAATAGAACACAATGGAGAAGAACAATTAATAGAACAGAACAGCACAATGAACAGAACAATGAATATAATAGAACAGAACAATGAATAGAACAGAAAGAATAATAAATAAAACAGAATAGAACAGAACAATGAATATAATAGAACAGAACAATGAATAGAATACACACACAGAACAGCAAAATAGAACAATGAATAGAACAGAGAATAATAAATAGAACAGAATAGAACAGAACAATGAATATAATAGAATAGAACAGAACAATGAATACAACAGAACAGAACAGAACAATGAATAGAACAGAAAGAATAATAAATAGAACAGAATAGAACAGAACAATGAATATAATAGAACAGAACAGAATATGAATACAACAGAACAGAACAGAATGGAACAATGAATAGAACAGAAAGAATAATAAATAGAACAGAATAGAACAGAACAATGAATATAATAGAACAGAACAGAACAATGAATACAACAGAACAGAACAGAATGGAACAATGAATAGAACAGAAAGAATAATAAATAGAACAGAATAGAACAGAACAATGAATAGAGTAGAACAGAATAGAAGCCAGATTCACTTAACAACTATGTAACTAACTTAACAACTGCAGCGATTCACTTCCCAACCGTCTCGCTTAGCGACGGAAATTTTACGACCCCCGGTGGGTCGTCACTTGAGGACAAGCTGTGCTTGGTTTTCTCCATGTGTGTTTTAAAGTCAGGGCGGGTAAAATATGAACCCAGCCAAGGGGTGGGTGGGTCTTTTTCGGCTTTCATGCTGCCCCCCCAGTCAGCGTCTGGCCGTGTCTTGACACATCTGTCAGGTCATCAAGCCAAGAGGGGTTTTTGAGGAGGGGTCAGAAGCTAAAAGCCTGGGGCCCAAATCTGGCCATCTCCCCAAAGCTGAACAACAGGAGCATGGGCCTCGTGATTTTGGAGGCAGCCTGCTTTGAGGTAGCTCTGTGTGTGTGTCTTTTTTTTAAAAAAATTGATTTTATTTTATTCAGAAAGACAAAATACCAAATCCAAAAAAACTCCCCCTAAAAATTAAGAAGCAAAAAAGCAAGCCAAAATTATGCATAATACAAAATATGTAATATAATACAAAATATATAATATAGTAAAAAGTACATAATAGAAAATACATAATACAAAATATATATTTTTATATATAATATATATAATACTGAAAAAAAGTCACTCATCACCGTTTTTCGCACTCAGGACCATTGCAGCCTCCCTTGATCAGGCGTTCAAAATTCAGACGCTTGCAAATTCATATTTATGACGGTTGCTGGGATCATACGATCCCCCTTTTGCGACCTTCTGACGAGCAAAGTCAATCGGGAAGCCAGATTCACTTAACAACCGTGTTACTGACTTAACAACTAAAATGATTCGTTTAACAACTGTGGCAAGAAAGATTGTAAAAATGGGACGAAACTCACTTAACAAACGTCTCACTTAGCAACAGAAATATTGGGCTCAATTGTGGTCGTAAACCGAGGACTACCTCTATAAACATCATCTATTTATCAAAATACAGATAGTCTTCAATTTACGACCACAAGTGAGCCCCAAATTTCCATTACTAAGCGAGACATTTGTTAAATCTCTATAAATTTTGATCAATCAATCAATCAATCAATCAATCAATTTTTCCCTGTTTTATGACTTTTCTTGCCACCGTTGTTAAGCAAATCACTGCAGTTGTTAAGCGAGTCACACGGCTGTTAAGTGAATCTGGCTTCCCCATTGACTTTGCTCATCAGCAGGCCGCATAAGGGGGATCGTACGATCCCAGCAACCGTCATAAATACGAATTTCCAAGCGTCTGAATTTTGACCACAGGGAGGCTGCAACGGTCCCGAGTGCGAAAAACGGTGATGAGTGACTTTTTTTCAGTGCCATTGTAACTCCGAACGGTCACTAAACAAACCGTTGTTAGCAACACCTGTATCTTCGTTTGGCTCCTTAATAATAAAACTTTCCCTTACAATTTTGATTAGGCACTTTCCAATGAAAAAGTATGTGTTTGTGTGTGTTTGTGTGTATTTGTGTGTGCAAGCACCGGTCTCTTCCACATCGAACAGGTAGTCCTCGACTTACAACCACAACGGAGCCCAAATTTTCTGTGTCTAAGCGAGACATCCATTCAGTAAGTTTTGCCCTATTTTTTTGCCACGGTTGTTAAGCGAATCACCACAGTTGTTAAATTAGTCCCCCGGTTGTTAAGGGAATCTCGTTTCCTGTTGACTTTTCTCAGAAGGTCGCAAAAGGGGTTCAGGGATACTGAATAAGGTCATAAATGTGAGTCCGTTGCCAACCACCCGCATGTAAATCACGTGACCGTGGGGGATGCCGCAACAGTCGTAAGTCTGAAAAATGGCCAAATAAGTCATGTTTTTCAGCGTTGTCACTTCGAACGGTCGCTAAGTGTAACCGTCGTAATTCGAGAACTTCTGTACAACCAATATCATGTGTGTGTTTTCTCTCCATTTCAGATCAGGCGTTTTATTCCCGTTCTGGTGCCACGCGACGCCATCCGGAACAGATGAAGCTACTGACCTTCGGCCGAGGGGAGTCGATGGTCTCTCCCTCTTGCTGTCTTTGGCAATGGTAGAACTCACACTGGTGAGCTATCTGGTTCCGGTGGTTCTAGACTTGCCAACTACCGCCTGGGGGCTTAGCCACTGCTTTCTCCCTTTCCCTCCGGACCACCAAGGGGTTGATGGTCAAGCTTCAAGGATGACCGAAGAGCCAACCGGCATCTCACCTCCTGGGTCAGTGGCTGGAGCAGGTACAGCCAGATGTGGAAACAAAATCATTTCTCTACCTGGTCAAAAGTCACAGAGCGACTGCCGCCGCATCTTCCTGGGTTGTCCGGCTGGCTTCGGAAGAAGAAAATTCTCTCTATGACAAAACTGCCATCTGTCAGAAATGGTGTAGCGCCGTGATGGCGAACCTGTGGTACGGATGCCGCAGGTGGCACGCGGAGCCGTATCTGTGGGCATTGCCCTAGCTCAGCTCCAGTATGCATGTGAGCGCCAGCCACCTGATTTTCGGCCCTTCCGGGCCCACCGGAAATCAGGAAACAGGCTGTTTCCAGCCTCCAGAGGGCCTTCGGAGGGATGGGGAAGGCAGTTTTCACCCTCCCCAGGCTCCTAGAAAGCCTCTGGAGCCTGGGGAGGGCGAAAAACGGGCCTACCGGGCCCATTGTGCCAAAAACGTGGGGAGCGTGGGGGGTTACACATGTGCGGGGGGGACGGGCGCAATCGAATTATGGGAGTTGAAGTCCCCCACCTTAAAATGGCCGCACACCTTTCCAGGTAAACCGACAGTCGACTCCGAGTTTCCCCATTGACTTCGCTGGTCTGAAATTCGCAAAAGGGGATCATGTGACACCCCCCCCCCCAGGGACACCATGACCGTCATAAATCCGAGTCAGCGTTGAAGTGTCTGAATTTTTATCATAGGGATGCTTGCAATGGTCATAACTGGGAAAAGCGGTCCTTCAAACTGGAATCCAGCAAAGAAAACTACGTTTTCCAAGCGCCCAGCCAGGTTTTTACCTCAGGAATGTTGGTTTTGTGAAACCAAGAATACTTCGCTCCTTTTGGACATAAAGGTAGTCCTCGATTTACGACACAACTGAGTGCAAAAATTGTGTTGCTAGGCGAGAGAGTGGTTAAGTGGGGGTTTGACTCATTTTACGACCTTTATGTCACAGTTGTTAAGTGAATCCCTGCTGTGATTTAGTCACACGGTTCTTAAGTGAATCTGCTTTGAGTTTGCTTATCCGAAGGTCACAAAACGGGATCACATGATCCCCGGGACACTGCAACTGTCATAAGTACATGCCAGTTTCCAAGCTTCTGAATTTTGATCATGTGACCACGGGGAGGCCGCAACGGTCGTAAGGGGGAAACAAAAGCCGTCACAAGTCCCTTTTTTCAGTGCCGTGGTAACTTCAAACGGTCACTAAACGAACGGTTGTAAGTCGGGGAAATACCTTGGAAGGAAGCCGAGGGGGGAAAGCGGAGGGCTGAATTATGGAGGGTGGGAGGTCCTGGACGCCCCCCAGGCTGTCCTGCGGGATGAAAAACCGGAACGGTGCATACAAGGACCTCCTGCTGTTTGAACATCTGTCAGTCTTTGGAAATCAAAAGCCAGAAAACAATTGTGGCTCTTGTTACATCATGTTCGTAATGGAGGGGGGGGGGGGGGGGGGGGGGGTGGGGGGGCTTCTGTTCTTTGATCAGAGTCAGCCGAGACCCTCCCGGCGACTTGGGAAGCTGCTTCTGTCTTTACATGGAGTCCTCGACTTACAACACTTTGTTTAGTGGCTGTTCAGTATCGAAAAAAGTGGCTTATGGCCGTTTTTCACACTTACGACCGTCGCAGCCTCTCCTTGGTCACATGATCCAAATTCAGACATTTGGCAAACTGACTCGTGTTTGTGACGGTTGCAGTGTCCCCGGGGGAGTCGTGCAATCAGCTTTTGCGACCTTCTGACTTTCCTTTCTTCTTCCTTTTCCTTCTTCTTTCTTTGCTTCCTTCCTTCCTTTCATCTATCCATTGTTTCTCTGTCTACTTTCTCTCTTTCTCACCGTCCTCTCCTTCCTTCCTTCCTTCCATCCATCCATCATCCATCCACCCCTTCTTCCTCTCTCCTTCCTTCCTCCCTCCCTTCCTCCCTCCTCATTCTCTCCTTCCTTCCTCCCTCCCTTCCTTTCTCCATTCCATTCATCATCCCTCCCTCCCTCCCTCCTCTCTCCTTCCATCCTTCCATTCATTATCCATCCCCCTTTCTTCCTTCCTTCCTTCCATCATCCATCCACCACTCCTTCCTCTCTCCTTCTTTCTTCTCTCCCTCCCTCCTCATTCTCTCCTTCCTTCCTTCCATCATCCATCCACCCCTCCTTCCTCTCTCCTTCCTTCTTCCCTCCCTCCCTCATTCTCTCCTTCCTTCCTCCCTCCCTTCCTCCCTCCTCATTCTCTCCTTCCTTCCTTCCTCCCTCCCTCCCGCTTTCTCCATTCCATTTATCATCCCTCCCTCCCTCCCTCCTCTCCTTCCTTCCTTCCATTCATTATCCATCCCCCTTCCTTCCTTCCTTCCATCCATCATCCATCCACCCCTCCTTCCTTCCTTCCATCATCCATCCACCCCTCCTTCCTCTCTCCTTCCTCCCTCCCTTCCTCCCTTCCTCCCTCATTCTCCTTCCTTTCTTCCTTCCTTCTTCCTTCCTCCCTCCCTTTCTTCATTCCATTCATCATCCATCCCTCCCTCCTTCCTCTCTCCTTCTTTCCTTCCTTCCATTCATTATCCATCCCCCTTCCTTCCTTCCTTCCTTCCTTCCTTCCTTCCTTCCTTCCTTCCCTCTTCCTCTTTCCTTCATTCCATTCATCATCCAGCCTCCTTCCTTCCATCCCTCCTTTCCCTCCTTCGGTGTCATGGATGCTGGCTCAGAGACCTGTCGGATGGATTGTGCAGTGCCAGCCCCCCCCCTCCACCCAGCATCATCTCAGCCCCCTCCCGCTAAACAAAGCTCCTCTGAGCACCTCGGCCCTCCTTGGGCTGAAGATCCCCTTGCCCCCCTCCCCCCTCTCCCCTTCAATTCCCCCCCCTCCCTCCCTCCCTCCCTCCCCAACCCGGTGAGATGCTAATGCGATTCCCCGCTTGTCCCCGAGCGAGACGGCCGCGTGGATGAAATCTAGGCCAGGCCGCTTGGCGTATTTGGACTAAGCTCTGCGGATATCGGATGAGGCTGGGATTAGGCCTCTCCGGACTTAAAAATAATGTCAAATGCCCAGCAGACACAAGGCTGGGGGAGAGGCCGAGAGGTGGGAGTGGGAGACCCTCAACCCCGTTTCTGGTCTGGAGACTGGTCCCTGGCACCGATTTTTAGGATAGGATAGGATAGGATAGGATATTGAAATAGGATAGAAGAGAACAGAACAGAACAAAACAGAACAGAAAAAACAACAGAACAGAACAGAACAGAGTAGAATAGAATAGAATAGAATAGAATAGAATAGAATAGAATAGAATATTGAATAATAACTTTATTGTCATTTTGAATGTACACTAATCAGCATACATTAAAATGAAATTACATTACATACATCTCTCAGACTGGTTCATTCATTTTCATTTTTCATTTCATTTATTAGATTTGTATACCGCCCTACTCCCGTAGGACTCAGGGCGGTGAACAGGCACAGAGTAAAACACATAAATACAAAAGTTAAAAAAAACATAATTAAAACCAAATTAAATAATTTCGCCCGAGACAATTGAAATTCCCAATAATTTAAAAACAAATTAAAATTTCAGTTTAAAAAATTTAAAAGAAAGGGGAGAAAATTAGGCCGGACCGGACAAAAATTAGGCTGGTTTTCTTTCCCAAACTGACAAATCTTTTCGTTTTTATTCAAAATATTAACATACTGACTCCAAAAAACAAAAAAAGGGGGAAAAAAAAAAGGAAAAAAAGAGAGAAAAAAAAAACACAAAATCAGAACAAAACCAGACAAGATTATGCACAGAGAGAGAGAGAGAAAATTTTTTTTTTTAAAATTTAAGTTCAAGATGTATTTATTAATTTTGTTTTCCTACACAGGCAGATCTGCTGAACAGCAGAAACACCCAAATCCTTTTCCAGGGCAGAGCAGAACGAGCAAAAAAACCCCCAACCCAAATAATATTAAAATATTGTGAGTGGCACTTGGCAACCTGGGCTATAAGTTAATCGCTCTCAAAATGATCTCCTTAAGGAAAGCGCTGAGCTGGCCAGGTGCAAAGGTGCACCGAGGTCATTACCAATATTTAAAGATGCTCTGATGCTTAATTAGATCTTCCCCAGCTGCATTTGCAAAATACCTTAAGCGCATTTTTGTTTAACCTTGGTTAAGGGTGAGGGGGACAGCGATGGTGGGTGGCTTAGCCGGTCACCGCAGACACAAGCCCGTTGATCGGCCTCCCATTGTGCCCGGGCTCAGAATAAACTAGGCGAATTTATTTGCACAACATTGGAAAAATGAGGCAACTCCTACAGATGAAAATATAATTAAAAAAAAAAAACATATTCGACTGTGCGGAAATGGATAGGTTAACATTAAAAGTAAAGGACAAAGAAGACACTGAATATTTTTTTTAAACTTGGGATTTGTTTTATCGATGGTTAGATAATACGAACTAGAAATTAGAAGTTGGAAGAATACTATTACGTACAAGTAATGAATATTATTATTACTATTATTATGTGTATGTAAAATGACCCAGACAATACTTATATATGTTAAAGAAAAATGTATAAATATATATATATTTTAAAAGAAACTAGGTGAATTTAGGAATTGGGGCTGTTGGATGAAGGCCGCCTCTTCGTTAAAGTTTGGGGAGAAAGTTTGAATCTTACGTCCTTTTGGTCTGTTTTAATATTTAATATTGTTTTCATCAGTTCTGTTTTATTTATTGTAAGCCGCTCGGAGTCACTGCAATCTCGGTGAGATGACCGGCATCTATATTTAAGAAATAGTACGGTCATCATAACTGGAGCACCACTAAAACAGAGATCGTCCTCGACTTACAACGGTTCGTTTAGTGACCGTTCAGTTTAGTTTAGTTACCATGGCATGGAAATAAAAAGGGACAGTGGTGGGTTGCTCCCAGTTCAGTCCGGTTCTTGTGAACCGGTAGTAACGGCAGGAGGCTCCACCCACTGCCCGGCACGGGTGCTCCCGTTGCAAACCGGTAGTGGAGGTAAGTAGAACCCACCCCTGACTTAGGACCGTTTTTCACACTTAACGACCTTTGCGGCATTCCCAATGGTCATGTGATCAAAATTTGGGTGCTTGGCAACTGATTCATATTTATGACGGTTGCAGTGTCCTGGTGTGTGTGATCCCCTTTTGCTGGCTTCAGACAAGCAAAGCCAGATGGAGGAAGCCAGATTCACTTAACACCCAGAGCAAAAAAGGTTGCAAATTGTCGGTGACTCGCTTAACAACTGCCTCGCTTAGCAACGGAAATTACGTCAAAATTGTGGTCCTAATTCGAGGACTACTTGTATCCCTTATGATAACCGATAAGACGCTCAGATTTCACGGCTTGGTTAGATTTGATCTCTTTTTTTAAAGATCTTTCGGCAAAACAGATCCCGACCCATTCTGTGTCTGTGAAGAGTTGGAAGGGTCCTAAAAGATCATCTAGTCCTACCCCCTGCCTGGATGCCATAGGCTGATCTTTCTATTGGCTCGTCAACTTTTAACCATTTCATTTTTGCTGCTGTCTTGCCCAAATGTATTTCCTTGTAATTCAAATATATTATCTCTTGCCTTGAAAAATTGTTAATAAATGAATGGATAAATAAATGATTGTATCTGAATCTATCTATCTATCTATCTATCTATCTATCTATCTATCTATCTATCTATCTATATCTATCTATCTATCTATCTATCTATCTATCTATCTATCTCTATCTATCTATCTATCTATCTATCTATCTATCTATCTATCTATCTATCTATCATCGTATATACATTTTAAAAAAAAATTGGCCAAGGGAGATTATTGGGTGGAATGGAGAACATCTCTTATGCAGATAGTCCTGGACATACAATGATTCATTTAGTGACCATTCAAACTTAGAATGGCACTGAAAATTACTTACGACCGTTTTTCACACTTACGACGGTTGCCGTATCCTGTGGTGACGTGATCAAAATTTGAAGCACTTTGCAACCGACTAAAAAGGGTCAAAATTCACTTAACTATCTCGCTTAGCAACATAAATTTTGGGCTCAATTGTGGTCCTACATCCAGGGCTACCATTTAATTCCATTTATTTTCTACTCATGAAGTATTCAAACTCGGAGTGAAAACCAACCCCTTGCCATAAAATGAGAAATTTTAGATCATTGAACGATCTTGTGTCATCCTTCCAAACGGATATTTCCAAGCGTGCTAAAACCACAGTTTAAAAACCACAAATCAAACTGGGTTTAAACTGTATGTTGAAGAAAACAGAATAACAAGAGTCGGAAGGGACCTTGGAGGTCTTCTAGTCCAACCCCCTGCTAAGGCAGGAAACCCTATACCGTTTCAGACAAATGGTTGTCCAATCTTTTCTTAAAAACCTGCAGTGTTGGAGCTCCTACACCTTCTGGTGGCCAGCTGTTCCACTGGTTAATTGTTCTCGCAGTTGGGAAATTTCTCCTTAATTCCAGGTTGCTTGGTTAGTTTCCATCCGTTGCTGCTTCTCCTGCCTTCAGGTGCTTTGGAGAATAGCTTGACCCCCCCCTCTTCTTTGGGGCAGCCCCTCAAATACTGGAACCCTGCTATCATGTCACCCCCACCCCAGTCCTTCTTTTCTCTAGACCGGCCAAACCCAATTCCTGCAAATCTTCATATGTTTTTAATCTCCAGGCCTTTCAACATCTTAGTTGCTCTTCTCTGCACTTTTTCCAGAGTCTCAATCTTTTTTTTTTTAATATCGTGGCGACCAAAATGGGATGCAATATGTCACTGCGTTTTTGTATTGACCAGATGAGCTCTTATTTTTGAATTTCAGACTTACCGTAGCTTGCCAAGTTCTTATCTCTAAGCTAACTGCGCATGTCCACATTCTTTCACTTTCTTCTAACTTTCTTTGTTCTCCGGCCAGGAGAGGTGGCCGGGAAAAAGCTTTGCCAAGATGTAATTAATTAGCTAGTAAGATGTTTTATTTTCTTTATAACCAATAAATGAGTTTTTCTTAGAAAACATATCTTCGGGTTTATTTTCTTAAAGTATACTTCAAGGAAAGGTCACGATCCATTTCTCTAATCATGGATTAGAGAATGGTAATCTCTAATCTCTAATCCCAGAATGGGATTAATTGCCACCCTGACACAATATTTCAATTTCTCCCGTGCTTTGTGAGAACAAGGGGAAAAGGTGACTTTAAAAATCCTGGGTTGGTGACCTTAATGTCTGGTCCTAATGCCCAATTTGACTTTTTAAGCCCTAAACAGTTTTAAGGCGCCGGTTCTCAAGATTCCTCTTTTGAGAACTGCGCCTTAAGCTGTTTAGGGCTTAAAAAGTCAAATTGGGCATTCAGACGGTGACTTTTAAACAGTTCTGGGCCTGGCCCAGTAAAATAATCCAAGGTGGGTCACTTCCATATGCCAGTCTGTCCATCAGACCAAGCCTGGTTTAAGGCAGGGGTGAAATCCAGCAGGTTCTGGAGAACCGGTAGCGGAAATTTCGAGCAGTTCGACGAACCGGTAGCGGAAATTTTGAGTAGTTCGGAGAACTGGCAAATACCACCTCTGGCTGGCCCCAGAGTGGGGTGGGTGGGATTTTTTGCAGTATCCTTCCCTCAGGAGTGGTGGGAATGGAGATTTTGCAATATCCTTTCCCCTGGAGTGGGATGGGATGAAGATTTTGCAATATCCTTCCCCCAGGAGTGGGGTGGGAATGGAGATTTTGCAGTATCCTTCCCCAGGAGTGGGGTGGGAATAGAGATTTCGCAATATCCTCCCCCCAGGTGTGGGATGGGAATGAAGATTTTGCAATATCCTTCTCCAGGAGTGGGGTGGGAATGGAGATTTTGCAATATCTTTCCCCAGGAGTGGGTGGAATGGAGATTTTGCAGTATCTTTCCGCAGGAGTCTGGAGGGAATGGAGATTTTGCAGTATCCTTCCCCCCTGGAATGGGGTGGAATGGAGATTTTGCAATATCCTTTCCCCTGGAGTGGGATGGGAATGAAGATTTTGCAATATCCTTCCCCCAGGAGTGGGGTGGGAATGGAGATTTTGCAGTATCCTTCCCCCCTGGAATGGGGTGGAATGGAGATTTTGCAATATCCTTCCCCCTGGAATGGGGTGGGAATGGAGATTTTGCAGTATCCTTCCCTTGCCACGCCCACCAAGCCACGCCAACTAAGCCACGCCCACAGAACCAGTAGTAAAAAAAAATTGGATTTTACCACTGGTTTAAGGGGAAAGATTTCGCCGTCACTGCTTAGCTGATATCCTTCAAACCGGGATCCAGCAAAGAAAACTACATTTTCCATGAGCCAAGCCAGGTTTTTACCTCAGGAAAGTTGGTTGTGCGAAACCAAGAATACTTCCTTCTTTTTGGACATACAGGTAGTTCTCAATTTATGACCACAATTGAGTCCAAAAATCAGTAGTGGTTTCTTCGCTACCGGTTCGGAACCGCGAGTGTGCGCGCTTCCTGGGCGGAGCCTCTCACCGCCACCGCTACTATCGATTCGCCCGAACCGGGTGAACTGGTAGAAACCCACCACTGCCAAAAATGCTGTTGCTAGGCGAGACAGTGGTTAACTGGGGGTTTGACTCATTTTATGACCTTTCTTGCTGCCATTTGTTAAGTGAATCACTGCTGTGATTTAGTCAACACGATTCTTAAGTGAATCTGGCTTTGACTTTGCTGGTCCGAAGGTCGTAAAAAGGGATCATGGGCCAGTTGCCAAGCTTCTGAATTTTGATCACACGAACGTGGGGATGCTGCGACGGTCGTTAAGTGTGAAAAACTGTCACAAGTCACTTTGTTCAGGGCCCGTTGTAACTTCGAACGGTCACGGTTGTAAGTCGAAGAGGACCTGTATCTTCGTTAATAGGAAAACTTCCCATTAAGATTTTTATGAGGCACCTTCCAAGAAAGAAGTGTGTGTGTTTTTGTGCGTTTGTGTGCAAGCCTGGTCTCTTCCACACCCGTTACAACGTCATTCCTGATGGTTAGAAAACTGTAACCAAGAAATCGTGACTCGGAGTGTCTCGTCACTGGTTTTGCTCAAGCAGTGGCTGGCTGCTCCTTTTTTTGGCAAAACTCGAATTTGGGATCCTGCCCTGAGCCTGGGGTGGACTGGATGACCTCAAGCACCCTTCAATGGTGCTTTTTCAGAAGGCAACTGAACTGCCTTGTTTTTTCTTTTGACCCCTTTCCAAACCCAGACTTCTATGAAATAAACGAGTCAATGATCGATCAAGCCAGTTTACAAATTGCTCAGCACTGGTACTTGAGATTCTAATACTCTGACTAGCACTGATGAGGTTACCTAGTTGGGTCACGAAACGTCTGCGAGGAAACCGCCAAGCTCAAGAGATCACCAAAGATCCCTCGTTTTAATCCTGAGCTACAAATATTCCCCTTTATTGAGACTTTAGCCATCCTGGACAAATGATTCTGCAATTTTTCCTTGAAACGTTATGCTTTTGATTATGTTTGCTTGACAACAACAACAACAACAACAACAACAACAACAACAACAATAATAATAATAATAATAAGCTTAAAAATCTACTTGGTCACTGGTATGCTCATTGTTTCTAGCTAGTCAAGACCGAGTTGCTAAATTAATCCACTGGTCATTATGCAAAAAATACGACTTACCTGTATCCAAAAAGTCATGGGAACATAAAGTGGGAAAAGGTATAGAAAATGAGAAGGTTGTGGAATCTTGTGGACTTTTGAATACAGATGGATCGTCACTTGGAACACAACACCCCGGATACAGTTGTCGAAAACCGAAACGTACAATTTATTGACATCGCGGTACCAGGAGACACCAGAGTCGAAGAAAAAGAACTGGAAAAAATCATGAAATATCACGACCTGGCCATCGAAACTACACGGCTATGGATGAAACATGTCACCGTGATACCCATTGTCATCGGGGAACTTGGTACCATGTCCAAGAATTTTGTAACATACATCAGCAAATTGCAGCTTCCTGCAATAAAACCAGCGGAACTGCAAAAAACTGTGCTACTCGGAACATCGTACATCTTAAGAAGGTAGTTGGTTGATACCTAGGACACTGGCAGCAACCTGTATCAACCATTAGCACCAGTCAATGGTATTTGTGATGCATTTTTGAATGTTCAGTTGATTTGTTTCATATTTAATGAATAATAATAATAATAATAATATATTTGGTTGATACCTAGGAGGCTGGCAGCAACCCATATCAACCATTAGCACCAGTCAATAATATTTGTGATGCATTTTTAAATGTTCAGTTGACTGAGTTTCATGTTTAATGAATAATAATAATAATAATAATAATAATAATAATAATATTTGGTTGATACCTAGGATGCTGGCAGCAACCCCGTATCAACCATTAGCACCAGTCAATGCATATTTGACTGCATATTTGTGATGCATTTTTGAATGTTCAGTTGACTGAGTTTCATGTTTAATGAATAAAGTAAATAATAATAATAATAATGCTTAAAATCTCTTTGGTCACTGGTGTGCTCCTTGTTCCTGGATCCAAAAGACCCAGCGACTGGGCATGTGGTCTCTATCCTGACACAAAACAGAGTCAAGAAAAAAGCTTTCCACAGTCCATCCTCAAGTACAGATAGTCCTCAACTTATATCAGTTCCTTTAGCCACCAGTTACAATGGCAGTGAAAAAAGTTGACGACTGTTTTTCACACTTTTGTAGCATCCCCAGCGTTCATGTGATCAAAATTTTCAGCTGGTTCATACTTACGACCGTTGCACATGATCCCGTTTTGCGACCTTCGGACCAGCAGGGGAAAACCAGATTCACTTAACAACCGGGTTACTAACTTATCAATGGCAGGGATTCACTTAACAACCATGACAAGAAAGGTCGTACATTGGGGGGAAATTCATTTAACAAATGTCTCGCTTAGCAACCAAAATTTTGGGCTCGATTGTGGCCGTAAGCCGAGGACTACCTGTAATTTAAAAACTGCACATTTGACTGGGATTGGGAGGAATATAATACCATGCAAAACTTTATCTTCTCCCGTGTCAATCACCAACCTGAATGAAAAAAAAATTGCTTGTTTTTTCCAGGACTTTGAAGTTATCTCTTTATTTAATCAGATTTATTTGCCGATGACTCTGAAAGTCCTTCCCTCTCCTTAAATTCGATTCATGGAAAAGAAACTTGAAAGGGTCCCAGGTGCCCCCTAGATCCAAAATCTATTTGAGGTGTGCAGGTACCAAAATTTGTCCCTAAGGTGTTTTTTTTCAAGAGGCAATTGGACTTTCTGGTTTTTCTTTGAAGACGTTTCGCTTCTCGTCCTAGAAGCTTCTTCAGCTCTGACTGGATGGTGGATGCATGGATCCAGCCAGAGCTGAAGAAGCTTCTTGGATGAGAAGCAAAACATCTTCAAAGAAAAACCAGAAAGTCCAATTGCCTCTTGAAAAAAAACACCTTCGGGACAACCACGGCTTAGAGGACTGAGAATCTCCATACACATGTTCCAAAAATGTCTTTATTCTGAGCGATGGAGACAGCTGATCTTCGGGGTTTAGAAGTTTATAGAACTATAAGCTATAATTGGCCGCAGTTCTTAAGATCTCAAAGCAGAGATTCTCCTGGGTTGTTAGGCACATAAAAGTGTTGGAAACAGATCCTGGATCCCTGTTGGAACTTTTGGCCGGCTGAATCGGAGTTAGGATGCTCGGTTGTTCGTAGATGGGTGATGCTCGACTCTGAATTCGGATCGACAAACATCGTGGCTGCTACGGATCTCACAATACTCGACTTACACACTTTCGTTTAGTGACCGGTTTACAAGGGCAGTGAAAAAAAGCAACGTGACTATTTTTCACACAGGACAATTGCAGCATGATGTTATCAAAACCTGGCCGCTTAGCCACTGACTCGTATTTATGACGGTGGCAACGCCCCGTGGTTAGGGGATCTCCTTTTTTTAACAAGCAGAGAAGTCAACAGGGAAGCCACATTCACATCATAGCTGCAGTGATTCAGGAGGGGGTCTCCAAATTTGTCAACTTTTAAGAGTTGTGGACTTCAACTCCCAGAATTCCCCAGCCAGTTGACTAGGGAATTCTGGGAGTTGAGGTCTACAAGTCTTGAACTTTGAACCTCTGGCATCGCTGACTAGGGAATTCTGGGAGTTGAAGTCCACAAGTCTTCAAGTTTGGAGATGCATGTGGGATAAGCCAACCCCTTTGTGACTATGTCCTGGGCAACAGACAAAAGAAATGTGAACGAAGGGCAACCTCTGGACACATCTGTAACAATTTATTGAATGAGGAAATAGACAGAATTGGGGGAAACAACAGGGAAACCCCATGCTTTTGACAGTGGTGGCAGGAAAAGAGGATTTTTCTTCTTCTTCTTTGGGTCTCAGGGAAATAATTTCTCAGTCTATCAGAACTTTATTCTGTCACCGGGGAGGGGAAAAAGAAACATAAAAAAGGAACACCAACTTTAAAGTCACATCTGACGTCTCTTTACAACGACAATAAAAAATAATATTTAAAAAATGAAAAACGACGACAACCAAAAATCAAAAGAAAAATCAAAAGCAAAGACCTGGGAAGGAAAACTTCTCCTCGATTTACGTCCGGAAGAAAATATGTCTACAAAGGACCCTCGTAGGTTTTCCTCTCTTTTCCCCCCCACCCCTCTCTCCTTGTTTTAAATCGAGAAAAAGAAGCCAGCTTTAAAAGACACGAACCTGGGAAGAGACCGGTGGGGAAGGAGAGAGAGAGAGAGAGAGAGAGAGAGAGAAGAGTCAGCTTGAAAAACTGACTTTTTTTGCAAAATGGTATTCTGTGTCAAAGGACAGAAGAAGGCAGTTAAATACTGTGGGTGTCTCCATGAGGAAAGACGGAGTGGATGAGTTTTTTTCCAGCAATTTTCAGGAGTGGGTGGCAGGGGGTCTCCCTGGAAGCCCCCTGAAATGGGAGATATAACTGCTCAGTCGAACCTTAGGTGGGGATGAGCTGCTTTTCGCCCACCCATTCAAGGGCAGTTTCCCTCCCACCCACCCTGGGCTATTCAGGGGTCATCCGTGGGCAGGGAGGAAAGAAGGAAGGAAGGAAGGAGGGAGGGAAGGAAGGAAAGAGGGAGGGGAGGGGAGAGAAAGAGAGGGAGGAAGGAAGGGAAGAAAAAAGGAAGGGAAGGAAAGAAAGAGGGAGGGAGGAAGGAAGGAAGGAAAAGAGAGGAAACAGAGAGAGGGACAGAAGGGAGGGGAGAAAAGTAGAAAATAGGAGGGAAGAAGGAAAGCAGAAAAGGGAAGAGGGAGGAAAAGAGAGGGAATGGAGAGAGGGACAGAAGGGAGGGGAGAGAAAGAGAGGGATTAGAGGGAGGGAGGAAAGAAGAAAGGAAGGAAAAAAGGAAAAAAGGAAAGAGGAAGAAAAGAGGGAGGGAGGAAGAGAGGGACTGGAGAGAGGGAGGGAGGAAAGAAAGGAAGGAAAAAAGGAAAGAGGAAGAAAAGAGGGAGGGAAGAGAAAGAGAGGGAATAGAGGGAGGGAGGGAGGAAAGAAGAAAGAAAGGAAAAAAGGAGGGAGGGAGCGGGAACAGGAAGACATCACACCTTTGCATGAATGCACTTGGATGCCAGTGGCCAAGAGCTACTGGCAAGGATGATGGGTTATGGGGTGGAGGGCCAGGACTGCCCCACAGGGGTCTTAACTAAAGAAAGGGGTTTTTTAGGAAGGTTTCCGGCTAGGTGCCATCCATACGAGGGGAAACCCGTTGATGGAAAAGGGATCCAAAATCAGAATGGCCGGCGCGGCCTTTGAAACCACCCTGGGAAAGATTATTTTGAGGGTCTGTGGCTCAAAAACAGGGGCTGGGGGGGGGGGGAAGGAATCGAGAGGAAGGGGATACCCTCTTTGCCGCGTGCCCCCCGCCTCTTTCTTTCGACCTTTCACAACTGGCGAGGGCTGAGGTGGAAGAGAGCCAAAACAGAAGTCAGCGAAGGATTCTCGGAGGAGCCGTCTAACTTGGACTTTCCAACGGAAAGGAGGGAGGTCCGATGCCACCTGGGCTACCGAAGAGTCCTGGACGCAGGTCCAGAATCGGCAGGTAACAGGATCGCCGCCTCCTCCGGGAGATGCGATTTTCCCGGGGCGCCTTTTCGAGGAAGAAAAAAAGGGTCTTTTCCCATAAGACGTCTCGACATTTCTCGTCCTCGCATGAAATTCTCGCCCGTCGTTTCTCGTTTTCGTGCGAAATTCTCGTCCATCAATGTTTCTCGTCCTCGCGGGAAATTCTTGTCCGTACGAGAAAAACAGCCCTAAATTCTCGAGGTGAGGACGGCAGGGGTGAACTCGGTGGGAATGGTGGGACGGTGAGGGTCCGCCAGGGAGGGGGGGGGCCTGGGCCCCGACTTCACAAACAGAGGGCAGGAAAGCTTTCCGATCCTCGCCCTTCTTCGGAACGGGCGATCCATGCAAAGAAAGCCGGGGCGTAACCTGTCCGGACGAGCCTCCTCGCTCCTATGGGAGCAGGTGGGTCCGCTCGATGACCCAGCAGGCACACGCCCTTTTCCCGCTCTGGGTTGCGTAGTCCAAAGTTGTGAGACTCCCAACGCTTCCTGATTGCATTTCCGGAGAGGTGTAGAAAAATCGGAGAAGAGAGGAAGAAGCTGTGGCATCACAATCTGGCCTTGGTCGGCTGTCACTGTTCTAGCGTGACCACTTCCACCGCCTGGCCGTCCATGGTGACGGTGCTGTCGGTGATCCTGGCAGTCACGGGGGCCATGGCCACCTGAACGGGGCCGTTCCCCTGGGCGAGGCTGGTGACGACCGTCTGGTACATGCTCACTGGGATCTGGACCAGGCCTGGGGAAAAAATTGAGGGAATAAAGATAGTTATTTTGGCCAGCGGGATAGTCCTAGACTTACAACAGTTTGTTTAGCTACCGTTCAAAGTGACCACAGCACTGAAAAAAGTCACATGACCGTTTTCCCCCCACTTAGGACCGTTGCAGCCTTCCTGTGGTCACATGATCAAAATTCAGCCACTTGGCAGCTGGCTCATATTTATGACGGTCACATGATCCCCTTTTGCGACCTTCTTACAAGCAAAGTCAATGAGGAAGCCGGATTCACTGAACAACCGTATTACTAACTTAACAACTGCAGGGATTCACAGGGTCAAGAAAGGTCATAAAATGGAGCAAAGCTCACTTAACAAATGCGTAAGAGGTTAAGAGTAATTTTAGGCTTGATTGAGGTCATATGTCGAGTTATGAGCTTTGCAGCATCCCCATGGTCATGTGATCAAAATTCAGAGGCTTGGCAACCACTCTGTACTTATGACCGTTGCTGTGTCCCAGGGTCCTGCGATCCTTCTAACAACCAAAGTCCCTGGGATTCACTTAACAACTGGGTTACTAACTTTTATCAACCGCAGTGATTCACTTAACGGCTGTGGCCAGAAAGGTTGTACAATGGGGTGAAACTCACTTAAGAAATGTCTCGCTTAACAACAGAAACTGGGGGCTCAATTATAGGCGAGGACTACCTGTACCATCTGTCTGAAATGGTATATAGGGTTTCCTGCCTGAGCAGGGGGTTGGACTAGAAGACCTCCAAGGTCCCTTCCGACTCTGTTATTCTGCTATTCTTTTTCCTTCCTTCCTTCCTTCCTTCCTTCCTTCCTCTTTTCTCTCCTTCCTTTTTTCCTTCCTTCCTTCCTTTCTTCCTCCCTCCCTTCTGCTCCTCCCTTCCCCTTTTCTCTCCTTCCTTCTTTCTTTCTTTCCTTCTTTCCTCCCTCCCTCTTTCTTTCCTTCCCCATCACTGGAGGTTTTTAAGAAGAGATTGGGCAACCATGTGTCTGAAATGGTATATAGGGGTTCCTGCCTGAGCAGGGGGTTGGACTAGAAGACCTCCGAGGTCCCTTCCGACTGTGATTCTGAGAGGCTTTGCATTCTTCCCTGCCTGATTCTCTGGGCAGCTGCAACCTCTTTCCTTTGCTCCATCTGCAGGCCCTCGCACGCAACCTCCCATTTTCTCTTTTGTGGTTATGCACCTGCACACCAAAACGGGCTCTGCTTTTTCGGACACCTGTCGCCTGCCCCAGTTCAGGTGTATTGCATGAGGAAATAGACCAAATTGGGGAAAACAGCAGGTAAATCCCAAGCTCTTGGCGGTTGTGGTGGAAAAAAAAATAGATTTTTTAAAAATCTTTGGGTCTCAGGGAAGTCTTATCGTTTTGGTCTCAATTGCAGTCGTAAATTAAGGACCACCAGTGCATCAGTACGCAGAGCCCCCAGTTGAGCCCAAAATTTCCACTACTAAACGAGACAGTTGTTAAATGAACTCCGTCTCATTTTACGACCTTTCCTGCCGTAGTTGTTAAGCGAATCACCGGAGTTGTTGAGTTGGTAACACGGTTGTTAAGTGAATCTGGCCTCCCCATTGACTTTGCTGGTCAGGAATTTGCAAAAGGGGATGACGTGACTCCAGGACACTGCAACTGTCATAAATGTGAGTCTGTCGTAAAATGGGGCCGAACTCACTTAAACAACTGTCTTGCTTAGCAACAGGCTAAATTGGGGTTGTACCCGTATAGCCCGTTCTAGTATGCGAAGGAGCTGGTTTCCAATCCAACCCGAAGACCCTCTTTATGGCATTGAACCACAAACAGAATAGGATCTCCTGCTCGAGCAGGGGGTCGGTCTAGAAGACCTCCGAGGTCCCTTCCGACCCCAAGATTCTGTGGTCATCAGAGATGTGACCTGAGGCAACCCACTGGGCAGGGAGGACAGCCATGCCAGAGGAAATAAAAACAGACTACTTGGCCAAAGAGGTTCGGGACTTTATCCTAACCCTTTCAGAATAACAGGCTTGGAAGGGGACCTGGGAGGTCATCTAGCCCAACCCCCCCTGGATCAAGCAGGAGATCCTGTATTGTTTGGATAAACGGCTGTCCAATCTCTTTTTAAAAAAAATGAAGCACCCACAACTTCTGGAGGCAAGTCGTTTCCACTGATTTAAGTGTTTCCATTCGCAGGAAATTTCTCCTTCGTTCTCCTAAGCCCGTGATGGCGAACCTATGGCACGCGTGCCACAGGGGGCACGCGTAGCCATATCAGTGGGCATGCGAGCTCAGCTCCGGCGCGGCCTTCTGGGCCCACCAGAAGTAGGAAAACAGGCTGTTTTCTGCCTCCGGAGGGCCTTGGTGGGTGGTGGGGAAGGCCTGTTTTTTGCTGTCCCCAGCCTCCAGAGCCTTTCTAGGAGTCTGGGGAGGGCGAAAATGGCCTTCCCCACGTCCTGGAGGCCAGAAATGGCCCATTTGCCAACTTCTGGTAGGACAGGAAGTTGGCAAACGGGCCATTTTTGGCCTCTGGAGGGCCTCCAGGGGGTTGGGGAAGGCTGTTTTCTCCCTCCCCAGACTCCTAGAAAGGCTCTGGAGCCAAGCGAGAGAGAAAAATGGGCCTACTGAGCCATTGCGTGCTGGGAGCGGGGGGGGGGGGGTTCACACACGCATGCACGGGGCACATGGAATTATAGGTGTGGGCACGCGCACACGTAACACCACCCCCTGCCCCCCCTTCCTGGCACGCGATGGCGAAAAGGTTAGCCATCACTGTCCTAAACAGAACACAGAATTGATATAAGAGTCGGAAGGGACCTTGGAGGTCTTCTAGTCCAACCCCCCGCTCAAACAGCAGATCCTATTCCATTCCAGACAAATGGCTGTCCAATCTCTTCTGAAAAACCTCCAGGGATGGAGCCCCCACAACCCCCGGAGGCAGGTTTTTTTTTGTCGGTCTGGGGGTTGTGGTGCCACGGAGGAATTCTTCCCTCTGCCCCGCGCAGTGAGGGCTAACCTTTTTGCCACTGCGTGCCAAAAGCGGGGGGGGCACGGGGGGGGTCATGCACACACGTGCCCATACCCATAATTCTATGTGCCCCAACCCCCGTTCATGCGCATGTGACCACCCCCCCGGCACTCCCCCGGTTTTGGCATGCAGTAGGCCAGTTTTTCGCTCTCCCCAGGCTCCAGAGCCTTTCTAGGAGCCTGGGGAGGGCAAAAACAGCCTTCCCCAACCTCCCTGGAGGCCCTCCGGAGGCCGGGAATGGCTTGTTTGCCGACTTCTAATGGGAGCGGAAGGCCAGTTTTTCGCTCTCCCCAGGCTCCAGAGCCTTTCTAGGAGCCTGGGGAGGGCAAAAACGGCCTTCCCCAACCTCCCTGGAGGCCCTCCGGAGGCCGAATCGGCCTGTTTGCCGACTTCTAATGGGAGCGGAAGGCTGTTTTTCGCTCTCCCCAGGCTCCAGAGCCTTTCTAGGAGCCTGGGGAGGGCAAAAATAGCCTTCTCCAACCCTCCTGGAGGCCGGGAACGGCTTGTTTGCCGACTTCTAATGGGAGCGGAAGGCCTGTTTTTCGCTCTCCCCAGACTCCAGAGCCTTTCTAGGAGCCTGAGAAGGGCGAAAATGCCCCCAACCCCACCCCCGGGGCCTTTCGGAGGCCGAATCGCCCTCTTTGCCGACTTCCGGTGGGACCCAGAAGGCCCAAAAATCAGCTGGCCAGCGTGCGCATGCACACCGGAGCTGAGCTCGCGTGCCCACTGATAATGGCTCCATCGTGGGCCTAGCTGATTAAAAAGGGGGTTGAGTTGGGGGGCAGCCCCTCCGATCTTCAAAGGGACATAATTAAGATTTATTGGAAAAGCGCCATCGGTGTTGGGGGGGAAGGCAGGGAGATCAAAAGGTGAGGATTTCCAGCAGATTTTTTGATTTTTCTGAAGCTGAGATGTTGAAATGCCCCCCAAACCTGCTCTTCCTCATTCCTCGAGTGACTTTCACCCCACATCGCCTTCAACCCCATTGAGCAGGGAGGCCTCCCCCGCCCCTCCCCAACTGCGCTCGCCCATCCACCCCACCAGCAGGATGCTTCTCACAGGTAGTCCTCGATTTACAACCGGAATGGAGCCTGCCCTGATGGTCGTAAAGCGGATCAGTCCTGTGACCTGACTAGGTTCCTTGTGGTAGCCGTTAAGGGAATGCCGAGGTCATTAAGCGAACCAATACAGGCGGTCCTTGACTTATGACCGTGATGGTGCTTGCTGCGACAGTCCTAAAGCCGATCACTTGTGTGACCTTAGGACATCATTGGGGCAGTCATTAAGTGAATGCAGAGGTTGTTAAGCAAGCCAATTCAGGCAGTCGTCGGCTTAGGACTGTAATGGAGCCTGCTGCGATGGTCGTAAAGTGGATCAGTCATGTGACCTTATTTAGCTTTTTTTGTGGTGGGTGTTAGGGGAACGGTGAGGTCACTAAGCGAAACAATACAGGCAGTCCTCGACTTACGACCTTGATGGAGCTTGCTGGGACAGTCATAAAGCGGATAGGATGTGACTTTACAATGTTTTTGGAGGGTCATTAAGTGAATGCAGAGGTCACTAAGCAAACCAATGCAGGTAGTCCTCGCCTTACGACCGTAATGGAGGCTGCTTTGAATTTTGATCACATGACACGGGGGATGCGGTAACGGTCGTAAGTGTGAAAAACGATCTTAGGTCACTTTTTTCAGTGCCGTTGTAACTCTCAGTGGTCACTAAATGAATTGCTATAAATTGAATTGAACTGCTGTACAGATAGCCCTCAATTTACAACAGTTTTAATGACCGTTCGAAGTTACGACAGCACTGAAAAAAAAAATGACTGAAGACAGTTTTCACACTTACGACCATAATTGCAGCATCCCCCACGGCCATGTGAATTACACGCGGATGCTTGACCCCTGACTCACATTTATGACGGTCGCAGAGTCCCTGGGGTCACGTGATCCCCTTTTGCGACCTTCTGACTGGCAAAGTCAAAGGGGAAAAACCAGATTCACTTAACAAACCGTGTGACTCATTTAACAAAGGCAGCGATTCACTTAACAAAGGCAGCAAGGAAAGCCGTAAAACGGGCCGAAACTCACTTAACAAATTTCTCACTTAACAACGTAGCTTTTGGGCTCGACTGGGGTTGTTAAGCAGAGGACTGCCTGGAGTTGATCGCCTTGACCAAAGGGTGGGAAAAAAAAAATAAACGGAAGGAAGAAAGCGAAGACAAATATAGGGGGAACGGGCCATTGAATTTAGGAAAGGGGGGGGTGAAGAATAAAATAAAACCAGAGCATAAAAGGGGTAACCTTCTAAAAAGGGGTCTCCAACCTTGGCAACTTTAAGCCTGGTGGACTTCAACTCCCCGAATTCCCTAGTCAGCCATTTCAGGGGGGTCTCCAAACTAAGACTTGTGGACTTCAACTCCCAGAATTCCCTAGTCAGCCATGCCAGAGTCTTCAAACTAAGACTTGTGGACTTCAACTCCCAGAATTCCCCAGCCGGCCATGCCAGGGGTCTTCAAACTACAACTCCCAGAATTCCCTAGTCAGCTGGCTGGGGAATTCTGGGAGTTGAAGTCCGCCAGCCTTAAAGCTGCCAAGGTTGGAGACCCCTGCTTTGCTGGCTGGGGAATTCTGGGAGTTGAAGTCCGCCAGCCTTAAAGCTGCCAAGGTTGGAGACCCCTGTTCTAAAACAACCAGATTGTTCCCCCATTCCGAACCGAACCCCCAAATCTGGGAAGCACTCAGACCATCTCCGGTGACCTTCATCGCAGAAGGATTAAGCCAAAACCACCTTGCCATCTGACGCAACGGTTTAGGGGGCGGTGGGGCTGGGAGGAGAGGGGTGGGCAACAAGGGGGGGGGGAGAGAAGGAAGGCCTTTGAACCTCCTGCCCCCCACCCCCCAAAGGCTGAGCTGGCTGTCCTCAGGAGGGCCAGGACGAAAGCTCCAGAGACCCAGGAATTGAGCCTCGGATTGTCCCTGTGCCTGAGCTGACCCTCCTGATTAGCCTTAATCTACTGGCAGACGTCAGTCGGTGTGAAGCCTGGGATTGTAGATTTTTGCGTGTGTGTGTGTGTGGGATTAAAGTTACAATCCCTTTACTCTCCTTTGCACTTTGCACCAGGGTTTGGGAGGAGAACACGCAAGGCTCGGGAGTAGGAACTGTGAGAGGGATCTGGGGAGTCCTGACGGCCGATCGCTTAAATACGAGCCAGCCATGTGCTGCCAAAAAAAAAAAAGCCAACGCAATCCTAAATTGCATTGACAGAGGGATACAGTCAAGATCAAGGGAGCTACTAACACCACTCTAAAACCTTAGTAAGGCCACACCTGGAGTACTGTGTCCAGTATTGGTCACCACACTATAAAAAAAAGACGTTGAGACTCTGGAAAAGGGTGCAGAGAAGAGCAACCAGGATGAGTGGGGGGACTGGAGGCTAAAACATAGGATCAAACATACGGTTGCCGGAACTGGGCATGGGTGAAGAGGAGGACCAGGGGAGACACGATAGCAGTCTTCCAATATTTGAGGGATGCCACAGAGAGGAGGGGGCCAAGCTATTTTCCAACGCACCTGAAGGCGGGACAAGAAGTAATGGATGGAAACTAATCAAGGAGAGAAGCAACCTGGAATTAAGGAGAAACTTCCTGACAATGAGAACAATTAATCAGTGGAACTGCTCGCCACCAGAAGTTGTGGGTGCTCTTATCACTGGAGGTTTTTAAGAAGAGATTGGACACAACCATTTGTCTGAAATGGTATAGGGCCCCCTGCTTGAACAAGGGGTTGGACTAGAAGACCTCCAAGGTCCCTTCCAACTCTGTTATCAATCAATCAATCAATCAGAATAGAAGCTGGAAGGGACCTTGGAGGTCTTCTAGTCCAACCCCCTGCTAAACCAGGAGACCAGGTCCACCAACATGCTGCCTGTCAAGTTTCCGAAAGATGCCCTAATTAATTCATGAGCCATGATCCAAACTTCAAAGGAAATATAGTCATTTATTAGGAGCAACATTCCGGCAATACTGGGATGCAGTCAGGACAGATCCTGCGTAGATTTACGTTCCCCTCTGACCCTGTCTCTCCCTTCCTCTCTGGCTGTGTCATAAATCACATTCTCCAATTAACCACTTTGGTTGGCTGTGAAACCTAACACCCTCCTTCTGATTGCGGTCAGAAAGAATGTATGGAATGCACTTCAGTTCTCCCTCCCTCCTGCTCACGGCAACTTGAAACCTTTGCAAGTTGACAGCTGCGTTTCTTCTCTGTTTTGGGAAAAATCCCCTAAGATACAGCATAAACCCCCAAGTTGATCCCCAGGGGTGTGATGTCACACGCAACCTCACAACTTTGTGGAACAACACAGTCTTAAGCCCAGTGGGCCAGGACTACCTTATGGTCTTCTTGACCTCTTGGCAAGACCGGTGGTTGAGAGGATGCGTGCCTGCATACTTTGTGCATCTCTCTCTCTCTCTCTCTCTCTCTGTGTGTGTGCATTTGTGTGGTGCAAAGCTTCCTTCTGCCAGCTTTCTGCGCAGCTGTTTCCTGGCCGTGGATTACCGCGGCCGCATTATCTGCTTTCAGCAGCAAAGTCTGGTGTCCCTGTTTGAGAAGGTCATTGGGACACAGGGGGCTGGCGAGAGACGATGGGGAACAGGTTTTGGGCACCCCGGACTAGAAAGGGGCGAAGGGGCACGGTTAGTTAGCCCCTTACAATCAAAAGCCAGAAGGAAGGCTGGCAAAGTGCAGCAGCCTGCCTCCGTGGCACTCGCTAGCTGAGCTGGACCAAAGTGGAATGACGGGCAATGGGAAGCTTTGAGTTTCTGTGGGAAAGCAACATAACGTCATGGGTGCTAAAAGGGAGTGGGGTTTGGGGAGAGCAGGAGGAGGAGGAGGAGGAGGAGGAGGAAAACAGTAGGGTCCTTGGTGCTCTCTAAGCTTGGTTGTTTTGTTGCAGATGTTTCATTACCCAACTAAGTAATATCATCAATGCTAGAATGGAATGGGGTTTGTGAAATAGAGGAGGAGGAGAAGGAGGAGAAGGAGGAGGAGGAAAAAGACCATGGGGTCCTTGGTGCTCTCTGAGTTTGGTTGTTTTCTTGCAGACGTTTCCTGACCCAACTAGGTAACATCATCAGTGCTAGAAGGGTGTTAGGGTTTGCCTGGTGCATTCACCCCTAGACCCAACGGGCTTGCTGAGATTGTTAATCTCTATCTGCTTGTTGTTGGCCGATCAACTTGCGTGCCAGGCTTTAGCATTTATTGGTTCCTGCACAAATCCAGACGGTGCCAGCTGCTCACCAGGAGCTGTGCCGAAGTGGCAGCTGGCATAACCCCCTGCCTGACTTGACAGGACGTGGAAGATGCTCTACGATGCAAAAATTTGCACCAAGGTCTCTCTGGACGGGCCGTCCTTGCTGCCCAGCGCCAGCCACTGGGCCTGCCCTCCCTCCTCAATCCCAGAGGGGCATCCAGAATCGGTGCTGTGCCCCGGGGTTGGCATCCTGCGGAGGATAGGTGGCCTTCCTTCCTGGCAGAGATTCATCTTCAAGAGTAATTTAGGGCAATAAGCAAGTCACCTGATGTGGGAGGTGAAGAGAGATGGCAGAGAGGTAGGTGGGGGGCTCAAAATGTAGATTTTTTTAAACTCTGGGTTTCTAAAATTGTGTGCCAGTCTGAGTCACTGGGAGTGAGTCCGGTGGCCATCTACAGGTAGTCCTCGATTTACAACATTTCACTTAGTGACTGTTCCAAGTTACGATGGCACAGGGGAAAACGTGACTTAGGACCATTTTTTCACAGTTACGTCCTCTGCAGCATCCCCGTGGTCACGGGATCAAAATTCGGCATGCTTGGCAACGGATCCATACTTACGACGGGGGTCACGGGATCCCCTTTTGTGACCTTCCCACCAGCAAAGTTGACGGGGAAAGCCCGATTCCCGGGCGACTAACTTATCAACAGTAGGGATTCACTGAACGACGTTGGCAAGAAAGGTTGTAAAAACAGGGCGAAACTCACTTGGCAAATGCCTCGCTTAGCAACAGAAACGTTGGGCTCTCCTGGGGTCGTTAAGCCGAGGACAACCTGTAGGTTCATCTAATAAATGAACCGTAATTAAAATGCGGGCACCAGCTGTTCAAAAGCTGCTAAACCCACCGATGTAATTTTCAGTTGCGAACCTGGCAGGTTTTAGAAAAATCTTTCTGGGTAGCCGCTGCAGATGTGTTCGGAAAGCAGAATGGGGCGATCACGTGATCTTGCGAGCTAGAATCTCACCGGATCGTTCAGGAAATCTACTCTCCCCTCTGGTTTCTGCCGCTAATGGCTGGATGGGCAGCCGTGCTGGGATTCTGCGGGAAGAGGGAGGGCGAGCGGGCTGGAGAGGGAAGGCTAAGGGGATGATTGCCCGGCATGACAGCTGGCCTTTAGGCGGTGATCGTTGCCACCTGAATGCCGGATGTTTGATTTGGACTGCTCTGATAATGGAACTTCTTCTCTGAGAAGACTGGAGTTATATGGAGCAACATATTAAAAGAGGAGAAAGAAAGGGAGGGAGGGAGGGAGGAAGGAAGAAAGAGGAAGGGAGGGAGGGAGGGAGGAAGGACAATGAGAAGAAGGAAAGAAGGGAGGGAGGAAAAAAGGACAATGGGAAGGAACGAAGGAAAAATGGGAAGGAGGGAGGAAGGAAGGACAATGGGAAGGAGAAAAGAACAATGAGAAGAAGGCAGGAAGGAAGAACACTGGGAGGAAGAAAGGAAGGAAGGACAATGGGATGGATGGATGGATATAGGAAGGAAGGAAGAAGGAAGGAAGGTTGGTTGGTTCAGAGAATACATAAATCATTGCTGGGTCTCGAATCTAGGACAGGATGAATTGGCTGCTTAAGTCCACTGCCTGCTAAGACCCTCCCCACTTTTTGCCAGTCCACGTGAGGCATGGCGTGGTCGATCCTTAATCTTCTGGGTGGACCCCCTTCTGAAGGACATCGCTGATTGGCCCTGTCTAAAGGCTGATATACTTATAACCAGACAGGCTTTTCCTTGGAAGTCGGTGTGTGTATATAATAGGCTTGTCTTGAAATTCAAATTCCCAGGTCAGGATCAGGTGCCGTCAAGATAACGTCGATTTTCTAAGCCAGCACCTGGATGGATTTTTTTTCCCCCCAGGATGAAAAAGTCCGAACGGGACCTTCTGCCAGGGCCGTTTTCTCCAGAAAGATCAATACATTTCGTCCTCGACTTACGACCGCAACCGAACCCAAAATTTCCATTGCTAAGCGAGACCATTGTCGAGTGAGGTTTGCCCCCTTGAAAATCTTTCTCGCCACCGCTGTTAAGCGAATCCCCACCGTCGTTAAGTTAGCGAACACAGTTCTTAAGCGAATCCGGCTTCCCCATATTGACTTTGCTCATCGGAAGGTCGCAAAAAGGCAGATCATGTGACACCCCCCCCCAAAAAGGACACCGCAACCGTCGTAAGTACATGCCCAGTTGCCAAGCCTACGAATTTTGATGACGTGAACCGCGGGGATGCTGCAACGGCCGTTAAGTGTGAAAAAAACGGTCACGAGTCGCTTTTTTCCAGTGTCGTCGTAACTTGGAACGGCCGCTAAACGAGCTGTTGTAAGTCGAGGACGTCCTGTGTTGAGAAAGGATGACGGTCAGAGCCCCTTTGTCTCTCTCCCAAAACTAGGAGAGATCTGGAGATGATTGGTCTAACGCAGGAGTCTTCCAAACTTGGCAATTTTAAGACTTGTGGACTTCAACTCCCAGAATTCCCCGGCTGGGGAATTCTGGGAGTTGGAAGTCCACAAGTCTTAAAGTTGCCAAGTTTGGAGATCCCTGGTGTAACAGATAGTGAAGAATCATCTCCAACTCAGTCCTATCAAGAAGAGGAGACCATGTATGTTTGGGCCACCGAGATCTGGGGATATTCCATCTTTGACCTTGGATGGGGTTGGTACTTCTTCATTTTCCAAAGTTTGTGTGTGTGTGTCTTCCTGGACTCACAGCTTCTGCTTGATGAGCAGGTGATGGCTTTGGCCAAGAGGAACTTTACGCAACTTCATCTGAGGCACCGCGTTGTATCCTTTCCTAGATCAGGAGAACCTTCAGAGTGTCCCTCACGTCCTGGTCACCTCATGGCTTGACTACCACAATGGACTCTACGTGGAGCTGGCCTTGAAGGCCACTCAGAAACTTCCAACTGGTCCAGAATGCAGCGGTATAAGCAGAGATGGGCACGCCTTGGTGTGCCCATGTGATGTCCCTGTGCTCATAAGTCACCACAACGACTACCACAACGGACTCTACATGGAGTTGGCCTTGAAGGCCACTCAGAAGCTTCAAGTGGTTCCACAATGCAGCAGTCTAAGCAGAGATGGGCTTGCCTTGGCATGTCTATGAGATGTCCTTCCTCCATAAGTTATCATAAGGACTGTCACAATGCACTATTCGTGAAGCTGATCTTGAAGGCCACTCAGAAGCTTCAATTGGTCCAGAATGCAATGGTGTAAGCAGAGATGGCCATGTTTCGGTCTGCCCATGTGATGTCCCTACTCCATAAGCCACCACAATGCCTACCACAATGGACTACACCGTGCTGACCTTGAAGGCCACTCAGAAGCTTTAACTGGTCCAGAATGCAGTAGTATAACCAGAGATGGGCTTGCCTCAGCATGTCCATGTGATGTCCCTGCTCCATAACTTCCACTGATGGCCAGTTGGCTGCTGGCTGTTACCTATAACAATGCCACGTAGGGCCTTGCAACTTGTGGGACCGCCTATCTTAAAGCCCTCCAAGGTTCAGGGTTAGGGTTCCAACTCTGTTATTTTTCTATTCTGTTAAGAGAGGGTCAAGCTATTCTCCAAAGCTCCAGAAGACAAGACAAGAAAAAATGGACGGATACTAACCTAGAACTAAGGAGGAACTTTCTAACAGTGAGGACAATTAACCAGAGGAACAGAAGTTGCCTTCAGAAGTTGTGGGTGCTGGAGGCTTTTAAGAAGGGAGTGGACAGCTGCTTGTCTGGAACGGTAGAGGTGTCAGCTTTGGAAGCCATATTAGGCCGGAAGCTTCCATGCTGCCACCTTCTCATGGGTGGGAAAGTAGGAGGGGGGATTTAGAAGAGGGGTTGTCTGTAGACATAATAGCATTCTTCCTGTCGGTCAAGGTCAGGCCGATCCTGCATCTGGAGAAGGAGTGGTGGGAGTGCTGTCTCGAGATAGGACAGACGGTGATTGGAGCATGTGATCGACTGAGGAGTGAGGGGATGGTTTTGGGGGTTTTGATTTACTGAGGGAAAATATGGACCTCTCAGATTCAGGTTTTCCCCAGATGTGCCAGTTTACCTATTCTAGTAAATAGAACTTTGAAAAATGCCTACTTCAGAGTCTTTACTTGGAGTTAGGGTTTTTCTGGAAGGCTGACAAGAGGGATTCCTGGTCAAGCAAGGGGTTGGACTTGAAGACCTCTAAGGTCCCTTCCATCCTTCTCATTATTATTCTATCCCCCCCGTATCTCTTGGCCAACTCAATGCAACAGGGTTGGGGTGCTTGTTGGTCCTAGAAGATGTTCACCCTCAAACGGCCAGAGACGCAAACTCTTGAAAGCCGAAGCGCGGCGCGGTTATCAGGACCGGCTTACCGTTTGCATCTGGTACCCCGGTGAGCGCGCCCACGGCCGCTGCCGTTTCGCCGGACAAGACGATCTGCCCTCCGCCCTGGAGGGTGGCTTCTGCAAGCGTGGCCACGGCGTGAGCGGCCGCCTCACTGGAAGACAAGACGAGAAAGAGGGAGGCACCCATGAGTAGGGAGAAAGAAAAGAATTAATTTTTGCCTCTTTCCAATTTGGATTTTATTTTGTGCGCTTTAAATATTTTATCTGTACGCCAACCTGAGTCCCTCTGCGAGGGAGATGGGCACTTCCTAAATGTGAGTTTGCACTGATGATGTTCCCTAGTTGGGTCATGAAACGTCTGCCAGAAAACAACCAAGCCCAGAAAGCATCAAGCACCCCACAGTCCTTCTCCTCTGTACGAACCCCCTGCCTTCTATCACTGATGATGTTCCCTAGCTGGGTCCTGAAACGTCTACAAGAGAAGAACCAAGCTCAGAGAGCACCAAGGACTCCTTGTTTTCAACCCCGAGAATATACAAATATTCTCCTTTGTTAGCTGAAAAAAGTGCACATCCTAATTAACCGATCGAGGCCGGGAGGAATCCAAGGCCCTGGTGGCTCAGCAGACTAAAAAGCACTGTTATTAACATCAAGCTGTCTGCAATTACTGTGAGTTCGAATCTCGCCAAGGCTCAAGGTTGACTCAGCCTTCCATCCTTTCTAAGGTAGGTAAATTGAGGACCCGGTTTGTGGGGGCAATAAGCTGACTTTGTATAAAATATACAAAAGTATGAAGGCTATTGCTTAACGCATTGTAAGCTGCCCTGGGTCTCCAGAGAAGGGCGGCATACAAATTAAAGCAAAACAAAAAAAAAAAGCTTTCCCTTCTCCAGTGACCATCACCAATTCCGTTGGAAAAAAAAAATTGCTTGTTTTTGTTCTGTCTGATCCTTCTCAGCTTCATGCAGTGCTCTCACCTTCCCCCCACACACTCCTTTCACAGGTAGCCACATTCTCTCTGCACCCCACCCCCACCAGGCACTCAAGTCAGCTCAGGTGCTCATAGGCTTGTTAACACAACCCTCCAGGGACGCCATTAATCTCCCGCTACCAAAGCCAGCCTGGAAAGCGATCTCTGCTTCCCACGCAGCCGGAGAGAGCTTCCTGCGAAAGGCCAGGGCTTCTGCGCTGCGGAGTTTGAGCCAGCAGGCTGGCAAAGGCTGGGTGGGACAGGGGGGAGCCCACCCCACAGACATCCAGCGCGTTGGCATTTGTGCAGTGCCCCCTCCACCCCCCCCCAAATATCCCAGTCACTGCGTTTCCCAAGGATGCACCGAAAAGAAACTGGGTTGCTCGCTGGAGAATGAAAACAAGAACCTATTCTATTTCTTTTAAAAAAGGATTTTGTAGATTAGCTCTTGTCACTCAGTGCTGAAGGGAATGTGACAGCTGCAGGAAAAGCTAAAGCTGTGGAGAATGAGATGGGTGAAGAAAGAAAGAAAGAGACAGAGAGAGAGAGAAAGGAAGGAAGAAGAAAAAGAAACAAAGAAAGGTTTAAGAAGGAAGAAGAGAGAGGAAGGAAGAAGGTGGGAAGAATGAATGAGAGAGAGGACGGGAGGGAGGCAAGAGAGAGAGAAAGAAAGAAAGGAGAGAGGAATGAAGGGAGAAAAGAGAAGGAAAAGATAGATGAAAGAAAGAGAAAACAAAAAGAAACAAAGAAAGAAGGTGTAAGAAGGAAGAAGAGAGAGGGAGAGAGAAAGGAAGGAAGGAAGGGGTCAGAAGGAAGAAGAGAGAGGAAGGGAGTGAAGAAAGAAAGAGAAAGAAAAGATAGATGAAAGAAAGAAAGAAAGAAAGAAAGAAAGAAAGAAAGAAAGAAAGAAAGAAAGAAAAAGGGAAGGAAGGAAGGAAGGAAGGAAGGAAAGGAGGAAAGGAAAGGAAAGGAAAGAAGAAAGAAAGAAAGAAAGAAAGAAAGAAAGAAAGAAAGAAAGAGGGAAGGAAGGAAGGAAGAAAGGAAAGGAGGAAAGGAAAGGAAAGAAGAAAGAAAGAAAGAAAGAAAGAAAGAGGGAAGGAAGGAAGGAAGGAAGAAAGGAAAGGAGGAAAGGAAAGGAAAGGAAAGGAAAGGAAAGGAAGAAAGAAAGAAAGAAAGAAAGAAAGAAAGAAAGAAAGAAAGAAAGAAAGAAAGAAAGAAAGAAAGAAAGAAAGAAAGAAAGAAAGAAAGAAAGAAAGAAAGAAAGAAAGAAAGAAACCAACCAACCAACCAACCAACCAACCAACCAACCAACCAACCAACCAACCAACCAACCAACCAGGGTTACCGAGATCTGGTCAAGGGTTCAAATGGGGACCCAGGACCCCTCCCCTACCTGTTGAGCGCCATAGTGACCGTGGCGCCTTGCTGCATCTCCTGCGAGGCGGCTACGGCGGCTTCGGCCAGGGAGGCCACTGCCTGCGTGGCTTCGGAGGCCTGTGTGGTCTGGATGGTCATCTCGCCCCCCTGTAGCGTCGCCCAGTTCTGCTCCACCTGGCGGGGATGGAGGAGACGAGAGATCCGTTGCAGGACTCCTCGACTTACGTCCGCTCGCTTAGCAAGCGGTCAAAGATATGACGGGTCCCCAAAAGGTACGGCCCTCGACTTACGAGAGTTTGTTTAGTGGCCGTTCCAAGTTAGAACAGCACCGAAGAAAGTAACTTACGACTGATTTTCGCACTTACGACCACTGCAGCATCCCTATGGTCATGTGAATAAAATTCAGATGCTTGGCCACTGACTCGTATTTATGACGGTCGCAAGTCCCAGGGTCACGTGACCTGCTGACCAGCGAAGTCAACGGGGAAGCCATATTCACCTAACAACCGTGTCACTAACTTTAACAACCGCCGTGATTCACTTAAGAAAGGTCGTAAAACAGGGCAAAACTCACTTAACAAAATGTCTCGCTTAGGGACATAAATTCTGGGCTCCGTTGTGGTCGTTAAGCCAACCCATCCTGCGGTCACGTGACCTGCATTTATGACCATTTGCGCCATCCTGCATTTTACAACCGTTTTACCGAAAAATTGGCTTCCAATGTTTGGCAAAACCAGCCCAGAGCAAACCACTGGCTCACTTAACAACCACGTTGTTCATTTAATGACCATGACGGACTGCTTTAGTACCGTGGCGTTCGCTTAACGACTAATGCCTAAAAAGCTCATTAAGGTCATGTGGATGACCAGTTTTACGACCAGGATGGCCAGGCTCCTTGATGGTCATAAACTGAGGACTTAGGGTCGTAAGTCGAGGACTATCAGAGCAGGGGGGTTAAAGCGCCTGCGAAAAGCCTAAGCAAGGGTGAAAGTGTCCAGCTTTGCTCAGACAATGGACGCTTGTCTTCCCGAGCAAATTTTCAAGGGCGGAATCAAAAACGCACACACAAAAAACCCCACAACTTTTAAGCTGGTTTTTCAGATGGAAATCCGGTTTTCTCGAGGAAACAAAGCTGTTTTGTGCTGCCCTCTATTGCTCTGAGAATCCTACACCGTTGTGGGGCGGGGGAGAACGAGGCTGCTACAAAGGCCTGGAGACCAAGGGCGGGATGAGGGGGGTGGGAGCAAGGTTAAAAAAAAAAGGGGAGGGGTGACCTCCTTCCCCTTCCCCAATTTAACAGACTGTTATCAGATTCCCATCCTGGCTCGTTTCAGTCCGACGTTATATCAGAAGGTGCCACGCAGCCTTGGATTCAGCTCGGTTGAAATGAACGAGAAGGACGGGGGGGTCCTCGACTTACGACGGGAACGGAGGCCCGAAGTCGCTTCTGGTCGCTAAGCGAGTCACTACATGACCGCGCCCGATTTTACATCCTTTTTTAAACAGTGGTTCGTTGTGGACTCCTGACTTTATCCCAATTGAAACG